AATTTAATGCAAAAAACGAGACTGTTTCTATGATTATTGATACTAGTATTAAAAAAAAATAGATTTTTGGAAGAAAATTGTTTTGCACGAATTGTTTAAACAAACTAGACTATTTATTAATTAATTAATATATAAACAAATTACTTATTCCTAATGTACGTAGAAATTACATACAAATTAAAAATAGATCATACAAAATAAAAAAAATAAGAATGATCAAAATCCATTGAGTAGATCCGGAGATATAGAAAATTTTATTAGTTTGAAATTGCTTGTTCGGTTTGGATTTGTAGGTTCTTCCTAGTCACCATTTGAACTACATTTTTGAAAATTCGTAGAGGGTCCTGTAAAGGTACAATGTTTGTGCAAATTTTTTAACAAAAAATACAAATCCCATTCCTTAACATGGCAAAAAATGAGGTTTCTTAATTATTATAATCAAATTAGCTGTGAATTATCATCTTTTCTTTGACTTGATCTACTACTTGTTGTAATTGGTCGTAAAACACTTCCCTTGTTGTTTGAGGCTTATTATTTTCTAGGCCGTATACTCCGATAATGTTCAGGTTTTCCTTCTCCATTCTTATCTTTGATGTTACTATTCTTTCTGATATGTATTGACACTCTTTGATGTAATTTTGATACCTTTGGTGTATTAGTAAGGCTACACCTTCTTTGGCCCTGTTTTCTTTTGCTACTCCACTGTAGATTAGTATGTATTCACCTAATTTTGATTGACCTTTTCCTTTATTTTTTGTTTGTTGTAGAGCACAAATGTCTATTTGTTTCTCTTTCAATACTTGGGTTATTTCTTGGTCCCTTGAGTTGAGTGATCTGATATTCCAAGTAATTCTCATCTGGGTTTTGGATGTTTTTCACTTGTCCTTATTTCTTGCCGTAGTCGTCTTCATAGTATCAATCCGGTTCCGAGACTGTACATTGTTTGTTTCTTTGAGCAGTATTTGATTTTACGATTGGTAGGTTGCTAACCATTAAATATAAATAATTAAATTTCATATTCAAATACTGCAAATTTGGTTATTACTCTGAGCTCATGTAAAGAAGAAAAGAAAATAATAATTCTGATTGAAATACAAAAAAAATGTACTGGATGATTGACCAAAACTCTACGCTGTTTCTATATAATAAATTATTATTATATAAGCAAATACTGAAACAATTGTATTATTATAAAAACAGTATAAATATTTAGAAAGAAAATGGAAAATCAACAGAAAATATTTCTATTCATATAAAAATTTAATAAAATTATAGGTACTTACTGCTTATTTATATAAAATTTCCTATTTTAAATACAATAAACACACTGGTTTGTCAAAAGTCGGAATAAGCCCTAATAATGTTATTCAACTTAATTTATCCTCCTCCGAGGGTTTTACCTACCTGGCGAGAATTCAGAAGCTACCGACAAGGACACCCTGTGCTGACAGAGAGAAAATTGCGTTTAGCAAAAATTTTAAATTTTTTTAAAGTTTATATCAAATAGCTGCTTTGTGTTACACTTTATGTTAAAAATAAAAACAGATTCGGAAAGTGGGTCAAATTCTGTAATGCCCTATTTAAAAAAAAATTTTTCGTTTATTTTAACCAAAAATATTTGAAAAAAAAATATTGTTTAAACAATTTATTAATTTACAACCAAATAGTGCACTAGAACTTTTTTAGACCATCCATATAAAAAAAGAATCATCTCAATATCTGCCATAGTTTTTGCGTTATTTGAAATAAACTTTTACATTGGAATTTACCTATGCCCAAAATCGCGAGGATCGGCCTTAACAGAACAATTTTTTATTTCAGTTATAAGTAGAGGACAGTGAAATTGTAAAAGAAGATTTTTTCACCTTAAATTTTAACCCAACAGAATTATTGAATTCCCATAAGGGACAGAAGTGGTAAGTAATTACTAGAGTGGTAATAAATTCGTAAAAACCTAGCAGAAGACTGTCGTATTTAAAAAAAAATTCTAATTTCGCTGGCTTGAACATTAACCTAGCGGGAACGTTTCCAAATAAGATTGGTTTAAGGGTGGAAAATTATCAGGGTGGTCAAAGTTTAGTAAAAACTTAACAGAACACTTTTTTATTTGAGTTATAAGTAGAGGATAGAAAATTTTTTTATTATTGAGTTAATGCCTCGACAACTAAGATCATTGGCATGGTACAGGTCAGGTATCTAGTGTAGTGTGTGTGTGTGTGTGTGTGTGTGTGTGTGTGTGTGTGTGTGTGTGTGTGTGTGTGTGTGTGTGTGTGTGTGTGTGTGTGTGTGTGTGTGTGTGTGTGTGTGTGTGTGTAGAGTAATTGTCTTGATACTTAGCAAAGTCGACGTCATTGTCTTTGCTAAGAGACACTAATTGTATCCGAACGTCTGCGGTCCCTCCGGTGAGTACCGATCGCACAAGGATAGAAATTATTTTCATTCATTAATTTTTTAATAAACGAACATTTCTCCACCCAGATGAGATTCGAACTCACGACCTTTAGGTTTAAAGGTAGGCGCTCTTACCACTGAGCCACAGAGGAGGTTAGAATAGAAAATTGTAAAAAAAAATTTTTTACCCTTAAATTTTGACCTAACAGAATTATTGAAATCACACAAGGAGTAGTTAAGGGGTAAAGAATTACTAAGCTGGCGATAAATTCGTAAGCAACCTAGCAGAACACTGTGGTATATCATATTTTTTTTAAATTCGGCTCGCTTGAATATTAAGATAGAGGAATCGCTCCCATAAGTGGTAGATTTGGTGGTGAAAAATTATTAGGGTGGTAATAAATTGGTAAAAAAATAGTAAAAAAATATGCCATAGGACATAAGTTTTTTTTTTAATTCTGCTAGCTTGGCCCTCAAGCCAGCAGAATCACTCCCCTTAAGAGAGGTTTCTAGTGAAAAATTGTTAGGGTGGAAATAAATTGGTAAAAAATGGGTGAAAAAATATGGAATAGGTTAAATTGGCTTCCATTCATCTATCTCCGCTAGCTGAAGGGTCCTTACTAAACCGTTCCAAAACATACAAAGCGGTCAGTTTAGTATGGCCACCAGTCGCAAAGATAATTAAGGTATTTGTAAAAAAGTAACAGGTGTAAATTTTTTATAGGTTGACAGAAACTATACAAGGTGTCCCAAGGTACACGAGTATCCCCTACCTGACGTTAACAACCGAGCTGGGTGCAAATGTACCCCAAAATATAAAACTTACTATAATTTGTTAAAAGAATAGTAAATTAGATATTTCTGTGTTAAATTAAAAAAGTGTATTTAATAAACAGCTGAGAAGAAATAAATAATAAAAAATATTATTATACAAAAATTGATGACTAGGCTGCATCTGCACCTCGCCCAATTTTAGGAACGTTAATAATATAATCAATAAAATACATACTGGATCGTCATACATAACTTAAACATCTTTAACGTTTTTAATCATTCGTAAAATATGACTGCATGGGACAAACCCATACTTTGGTTCTTTAAGAAACTTCGCTAGATCATTCACAATGTTGGTCGAATCTAGAAGCTTTTTTCGTATCTTCTTAACGGTGTCTTCGCCTCTATGTCTTCTTCGTCTCTTCGGTCTCTTCACAAATTCCGGCAAAGCATGATCCGCCATCAGGCGGTAATTTGATTTTAGAAATTGATCTAGATTCTTTATTTTCGGTGTTAAAAGTGGGCTGGTAAAATTGCGCTTAGCTTAGTTTGATAAAAAGTAGAGATGTAGTACGAAAACCATAAGACAAGCGACAAATATATGGTTGTTTTAACATTGCTCACTTTACGAAAATCAATTATAAGTGTAATAAATAATTTATAAACCAGAAATATGGTTTCTTCAAACTGTAACTTACATGATATCTTCCATAAAAGTGTTGTTATCAGAAATACCGCCAAAACGAGAAGGTACAGGGTGTACGAAAGCAACATAATCATATTTGGCTCTATTTGTTTTCTAGGTGGGCATAGGATATACATATAACTACATATAATACTATACATATAACGACATAATGCTTGGTCTACTATATTCAGCTTGATAATTGGGAAGATGTTGAAAATGAAATACTCCTACAAAACCAGCTTCTACATTGTAAGTCTCCATATCGTATATAAAAAGATCGTAAGTACCATGGACACGTAGTAAGAGGAGACCGATATAATATTCTTCAACTTATTATGATGGGTAAAATCGAAGGACGCAGAGGAATTGGTAGAAAGCAGGCCTCTTGGTTACAGAATATCAGGGAGTGGACAGGAATAAGGAAAGCTGAGCAACTCTTTAGAATAGCTCGAGACAGAGACATAGTTTCGCCATGGTAATCGCCAACGTCAAGGGGGCTTGATAGGGCACGTTAAGAAAAAGAAGTACCATGTATAAGCGGCTTGCCACCGCTCTTTATCGAACAATAATCTAGTACCGTCATTATGGTTTATGTAATAAAAAATAGTTTAGCATTTATGTATCTACAAAAATTGATGAGTGGGGTGCATCTGCACCTCGCTCAGTTTAATAAAGGTTAACAAGATAATCAATAAAATACATACTGGATCGTCATACATTACTTCAACATCTTTAACGTTTTTAATCATTCGTAACATATGACTGGATGGGGCAAATCCATAATTTGGTTCTTCAAGAAACTTCGGTAGATCATCCACCATGTTGGTGGAATATATAAGCTTTTTTCGTATCTTCTTAACGGTGTCTTCGCCTCTACGTCTCACAAATTCCGGCAACGCATGATCGCCCATTAGGCGGTAATTTGATTTTAGAAATTGATCTAGATTCTTTATTTTCGGTGTTAAAAGTGGACTCGTTAAAATTGCGCTTAGCTTAGTTTGATAAAAAGTAGAGATGTAGTACAAAAACCATAAGACGAGTGACAAATATATGGTAATTTTAACATTAGTCGCTCTACTTAGATCAATAATAAGAGTAATAAATAGTTTATAAACCAGAAATATTGTGTCTTGAAACTGTAACTTACATGAGATCTTCCATAAAAATGTTGTTATCAGAAATACCGCAAAAACAGGAAGGGACAGAGTGTACGAGAACAACGTAATCATATTTGGCTTTATTGGTTCTCTAGGGGGGCATAGGATGTACATATAGTTTACAATGCATGGTCTACTATATTCAGATTGATAATTGGAAAGATGTTGAAAATCAAGTACTCCTAAAAAACCAGCTTCTATATTGTAATTCTCCATATCGTATATAAAGAGATCGTAAGTACCATGTACTGCCATACCCTCTATGTAATTATGTACGTTAATAATATTAATATCTAAATTAAGCTTTTTTCCAATGGCGTTAGACAATTCAGCTAGATAACCTCTTCTGGTGGTCTCATTAAAATACAACTTATAGGGAGCTATTGTAATATTAAATTGACACGAATCTAAGTCGTTAGGAATTTTTTTCTTATATGGATCTGTTAAATTAACTAAATTAAAACTTTTACCGCAATTATTCTCTTTAGAATACGGAAACCACGTAAAAAATGTTTTGAAGTCTGCAGATACTACTGCGTAATAAATATTAACCCTCCACAATTTTGCAAAAACAACTTTTATCTCTATGTCTGTCACATTCTTACATACGATCAGAAATTTGGACGTGCTGTGCCATTTATCAGACTTATTGAACAACTTTAAAGTCGTGGTAAAAGATTGTATAGTGTGATCAATAAACAAAAAGTCTCCAAAAGCTTGTATTACTTTTTCTATCATAGAAACATTTGTGATGATTTGTTGTGGTACATCCATAGAAGTAAATAGTTCGTTCATGTCTTCTGTGTTGTCTATTAATGTCAAAGATTCTCTATTTAAATGTTTTCTAACAAACTCAGTTAGTTGTTCAAATTTTTCGTTTTTTATAGGTAAAATGTTACAATTGAAGCCTAGAATATAAGCCATGCTGTACAGCACAAATATACGTGCAACAGTAGTAATGCCAGATTTTTATTAAGTGAAAACGATCTCTTTATTTTCGATATTGGAAACAAAAATATTATTTGTACACCAAGTAATTATGTTTGAACATTGTTTATACCCATGTAGATTGTATCAATACATATACGGACGAACCTATGTACACATTCATATCACAATAGCATTTTACATACTTAAGATTAAACAAATCTAGACAGTTTGTATTTAATTACTTTATGTTCTGTAAAGCTTTCTGTGATATTAATAAATGGCTTTAGAACTCTCATTATAAATATTCTTTGAACCAGAATAAAATGTAGTTCCTATGGATTGCTTCTATACTTTTGTGTCCTCTTTTCCTACAATTTTGCTCCTGGTTGATGTAGTAGCGTCTTACAGTAGATATCCGACTATTTCCTGGTTTTATTTTTTTCCTTTAAGGTGTCGTCTCCGGAATTAATAACCCATGGAAACACGTAAAAGCAACTATGTGCATTTCCTATGGTTATTAATATCGCCATGATCTAACATTGCGCAATATTGCACAATATTGCGATGTTAGTCCAGGACGCTCTTTGCTCGCTCATTGTCTTGAAAAAGACAATGCCTGTATGTTTATTTAGGGTTGTAGAAATAAAACACACTATTCTGAAGCGAAAAAAAGGTCAACGTCAGAGTCTTAGGTGTTCGCGAAAAATTGTCGAGTCCTTGGAATCAGAAAGTTAACATCAAAATAGAAAATGAGATATCACAAGCAATAGAAATACGTAGAGGAACACGACAAGGATGCATTTTGTCACCGCTGATATTTAATGTTTATAGTGAAAGCATTTGCCAGGAAACCGTTTTGCTAGCAAAACGAAGGAATCGTAATCAATGGAGAGGTGGTAAATAATATTCGATACGCAGACGACACTGAACTAGTTGCAAGAACAGTAGAAGAATTACAACGATTAATTACAAATACAAATATTGCCTGCAACAATTATGGCATAAATATCAATATCAAAAAAACCATGACACAACTAGCACATATTAGTATAAACGGCATTCAAATTGAAAAAGTATCAAGTTACAAATACTTGGAGACTTCAATAAACGAAACTGAAGACCAAAACAATGAAATTAATAAAAAGACTAAAAAGAATAAAATACTGAGATAGCGAGACAATCGTTTGTCAAAATGAAAAACTTCCTATGCAGAAGGGACGTAAATCTAAACTTAAGAACGAGAATGTTAAGGTGCTATGTTTTCTCCGTTCTGCTGTACGGCATGGAAGCCTGGACACTGAAAAAGGTAAACATCAAAAACATTGAGGCATTCGAGATGTGGTGTTACAGGAGAATGTGGAAAATATCATGGACAGAAAGAGTAACAAATCAAGATGTTCCGCTGAAGATGGGGAAGGAATGCGAAGTCATAAAAACCATACAAACGAAAAAAAACTTGAATATCTGGGCCACATAATGAGAGGAGAAAAGTACTGTCTGCTTAGACTCCTAATCCAAGGAAAAATCTCGGGAAAGAGAAATGTGGGACGTAGGAGGATTTCCTGGTTGCGAAATTTAAGGGAGTGGTATGGATGCAGTTCAATACTGTTGTTCAGAGCTGCAGCCAACAAAGTAAAGATTGCTGTGATGGTAGCCAACCTCCGATAGGAGACAATACTGCAAGAAGAAGAAAACACTGAAAACTTCGTTTTCAAACTTCCACAAAATTTATTTTAACCTTTTATCACAACAGCTGTTTGCCTTTCTTAAGTGATCTATTTTTAGCATGCGTTTACACTTTATAGTCTCTAATGAAATATGTTAAAGAGGGGAAAACTGTGTGTCTCAAGTTGATCATTCAGAATTACATCTGTATTTTTTAATTTGTTGATTTCCATAGATTCTAACAAGGATAGCTTAAGGCCGTTATTTTGAATACGAAGAATTTTAAATTCGTCATTAAAAGAATGATTGTGATCTAGAAGGTGAAGTGCGCTTTGTATAATCTGTTTTTCTATTATTGAAAGCTCTTTTATGTTCCGCTATTCATTTATTAAAGTTTCTGCCAGTTTGACCGATGTAAGTTTTTGGGCAGTCATCACATTTAAGTTTGTACACACCACTGGGTAAGTGTTGTCTAGGTCTAGTAAGCCTAGGTTGTTATTTGTTCGGAAAGCTGGTGTTATTCCTTTCTTTTTTATGTGTTTGCCTTTTTTTGTTGATATTTTGCCTGTATATGTAATCGAGCAGAAGATACTGAGTTTTTTCTCTGGTGGTTTTATGACTTTCTTGTGTAGTTTTTGATTTAACATTTTATTAATTGTTTGTTCATTGTATCCGTTGTTTACTGCTATTTGCTTGATGATGTTTAATTCTGTCTGAAACTTGTAATTTGACGTCGGAATTTCTGTTAATCTATGTAACATACTATTAGAGGCTGCCAGTTTATGTTGTGTTGGATAGGATGATGAAGTGTGTATAGTCGTGTCAGTATGGGTAGGTTTATGAAATAACGAGAAGTCATGTTTGTTTAAAAAAAAATTATCACACTTAAAAACTAACATGACTTCTCCATCTCACTTTGGTAAGAAATTCATATGCGGAATGTTAAATATTTGTAGACTAAAAAGACCACTTTTTAATTAAGTCAGTTAAAAGGGTGCTAATTTTAAAATATTTGTTATGTACGATAAAAGAAAACCAAAACAATGCAATAGGATATAGAACAAAATATATTTAAATGAATTATAAAAGATTTTAAATCTTTAAAATGTAATATTTATGCGAAATATAGTTTGGCACCTCGTCGCCTATTGGCTAAAACATGACCGCGTGCCGTAAAGAACCAATAGAAAAGTCCTAGGTGCTAAATACACATACAGAATGTTTAGATGCCTGCCGTATAAGTAATATACTGCCATATATTTAAAAAATTTAATTTTTGTACCTTTTTCAAAATTCAAAATGCGTTTTAAGGGTGAAGAGTACAGATTTCGTATTTAATTTTTGAGTTTTACCTTAAATGAAGTCATTTTTAATGAAGATTATAAAAAAATAAATGGTACGTGAGTTTTGCCATATTTTACAATTCTCATGATGTCAATAAAATTTATCACTTTCATTGACTGGACAGTTTTAGAATCTTCTTAATGATTGTGTTGATTGTATGATTTTGTTATCAATAATAACTAAAATTAAAATAATAGAAAAATAAACTCGTAAAATCGTAGTGGAAAGTGCATAATAGGTGCTGAATCTGCATAATACTCCATATATAATTATCATATTGCTAATATTGCTAAAAAATTAACATTTTTTTGAGACAAGTCACTTCCTAGTATGTTAATTTTTCTTAAAAATATGTGCAGTATCACCCAAACCTTTTCGACATATTTGTCAGATTGCGTCACACTGTGCATCCGATTATTATCAGTTGATCAACTAATGTAATCTCAACAACAAACACTTACTGGATCTTCAAACATAACTTCAACATCTTGCAAATTCTTGACCAATCATAAAAGGAAACTAGGAATGACAAATCCATACGTGGGTTCTTTTAAAAACGATGCAAGATTATCCACTACATTGGTGATATCTGACAGTTTCTCTTTTATTTTCTTAACTCTCTCCGTGCCTTTAGAACTGATGGATTCCGGCAAACTATGATAGCCAAGCAGGCGGTAATCTGATTGAAGAAATTGGTCGAGATTGTTTATTTTCGGAGTAAGCTTCGGACTCGTTAACATTGAACTTAATTTGGTTTGATGAAAAATGGTCATGTGGTACGAAAACCATGAGACCAGAAACAAAAATAGTGTCGTTTTAACATTGGTTGCCTTACGAAGATCGATATTGATTGTAATAAATAGTTTATAAACCAGAAACATTGATTCTTCTAATTTTAGTTTGCATAGTATCTTCCATAGTATTACTGTTATCAGAAATATGACACTAACTGGAAAATACAAGATATATGAAAATACAAATATCATATTAGGCTCAATTATTAGTCTGGGTGGTAATATTATGAGATAATAGTCTGTAACGCAAGGCCTAGTGAACTCACATTGATAATTGGCTATTCTTTGAAGGTGAACAGCTGGGCAGAATGCGGCGTCTATGTTATAAGTCACCATGTCGTATATAAAAATATCATATTTCCCATATAACGAAAGATACGTGATGTAATCACGCCTATTAATAATACTAATGTTTATGTTTAACTTTTTTCCAATTGTTGGACAAATCAGCTAAAAGACCTTTTTGTGTGATATCATTATAATACACCTTATAGGGAGTTATCGTTGTATTTAACTGACATGAATGCAATTGGTTTGGAATCTTACCCGTATATGGATCTTTAGTTACATTAATTAAGTTAATATATTTACCACAATCATTGTGTTTCAAATATGGAAACCAAGTAAAAAATGTTGCAAAGTCTGCAGATACTACTGCGTTGTAAATATTGACCTGCCACAACTTAGCAAAAAGAATTTCCACTTCATTTTCTGTTAAGTTTTGAAATAAGATCAGAAATTTGGACGTACTGTGCCATTTATCAGATTGATTGAACACTTTTAATGTGGCTGTAAAAGTTTCTACGGTGTAGTCAATGAACACAAAGTCTCCAAAAGCTGTAAGTACTTCTTCAGTCATGGTAAGGTTCGTAATTATTCGTTGTGGTACATTCATAACACTGTATAGTTACTCCAAATTACCTTTGTTGTCAATTACTGTCAAGCATTTTCTATTTAAATATTTGGAAATGAATTTAGATATCTGTTCGTATTTTTCATAGTTTATGGGTATTCGCTGTGAGCCGATGAGTAGAGGGGATTTGACAGTTTTCACCAACGCTGTTAGTGGCAGTTTTGTGCATTTAACTTGTAAACATTCAAATAATGGCGAATATGGATTTTTCAAAAAGAAAAATATATGATACATGTAAAAATACTGGGTACAACAGTCATTGTAAATTTTATTCATTTCCTGTCGCCAAACATAAAATAGTTCAAAGAGAAAAATGGATTATTGCTATCAACGAGAAAAATAAGTAAATAACCTATAATGCAAACATGATATTTGTATGGTGTAAAATTAAAAAGCTATTATATTCCGAAACATTGCGTACATGCCCTGCATCAACTAAACCTTTTCCCTTTTTTGGTGTAGCTGGTTGAAATGGGATATCATGTGATATAGACTTAAAACCAGTATAATGTTTAATATCCATTTTGATAAAATTAAAACAAATTTAAGAGGTGGAGGCCATAAAACGAAAGAAGAAGAAGAAGAATTAAAACAAATTGATATCTAAGCACTAAGGCCTACGCAAACAAAAAATAACTGAGCAAAAACAGAATAAAAATGTAAAATAAAAACAAGAATTACAACGTTACAGAGGTAAAGGTAACCAGAATATAGACGTTTTAAGCGTCTATAACCTTAAATATTTGCTTTAACCATTAAATATTTTCATATAAACTTCTTCTTTTTCTCAATGACCTCTTGCGTAAGTAGTCATCCAGTCGCAAGAACTTATATCTTAAATATTATAATTATAATGAATAAAATAACAAGGCGTAATTACTTTTACTATTAATTCTGTGTATTCGTTCATTAATCAGTTTACCATAATATTTCAGTTCATTATTTTGTATTTTTAAATAAATATCTATTTTTCTCGTTTTGTCATATTTCATTTACACTGATTTTACCAGAAAAGTACAAGTTTCAAACCGCGAGAGAGCGCTACCGGCGAAACTCACAGCGAATTATTCTACAATTGAAGCTTGAAATAAAAATTATGATGTACGCCATAATAAATAGATATAGGGGAAAGGTGGGCAAAATGGGGTACGTAAGATTTGAACTTACATATTTCATACACGGTATTAAAAATTATTTGTTTCAAGCTGTAAGCGTAATCTCTATGAAATAATAAGTAAAAAAATAATATTGCGTGACATAGTAGTTTTGACGTTTCTGATGTATACTAATATTTTGACGCATGTGTCATTTGCCCCATTTTGCCCCACCTATGGGGCAGAACAGGGTACCTCCTAAAAGCTAAAGTCAGAAGGTAAAAAATATCTTTATTTTTACCTTAAAAACTTTTATTCATAAGTATTGAACAATAAAATACATATGTATTTTTAATTATTTTCGCGTAGAGCGCATAAGTGTGTAGCATCATCGTCATCTTCATCAACTCCTGCACACGAATTATGTGCCCATTTGGAGCATGATCGGCAACGAATCCACCCTTCTTCAGAGAAGTCATGGCAGTATAGACACTCATCTTCTGCAGCCTCTTCTTCACTATCAGATGAAGCAGGAGTAGGAATTGGCATTTTTTTTCTGAATAGTAGATGATGTTTTTTGTTGTTTGGCTGGTTTAACAGTGCCTTTTTTATTTTTAAGCAGATTTCTTTTTACGGTTTGGTCTGCTTTTCCTTGCCTTTTATTTTCAGCATTCCGCAACTCGTCCTTATATGGCGATGATGTCAAAATCACAGTTTTTCCACGTTTTCTGGTAGTCCTTTTACTTGTCTGTGATACTTTGGGAATTGGCAAAATGATTTGGGGACTAGCACCTTTAAAACTACTACAATTCAGATCTGGTTGAGAAGTTGAATAAATGGAAGATTGTGCCGAAGTCGATGGACTGAAAATATTTTGTACAATCATGGATGGTTGGGACAAAGTTAGATGGATGGAAGTTAGATGTTGCTGGCCTGGAGGTGACTGGGCAGAATCTTTGAAAGCTGTAGTACTCTGGACTTGCATCTCCCTTGTATCATTGAGAGAAAGTTCAATGTTTGTCGTTGCAGAAGGTAAGAAATCTTCATCTTTAAAACATTCATGTCACATGGCCAGATTCCAGTTTTTCGAAAACCATTTATAGCTGTGCTCATCGCTGCAGCCTGTATAAAAGCGGCCCCAAATAACGAAGCTATCTGAAACAAGGTAACGACTTTTCCAGGATTACATCTCAACCATTTACGTACTTCATCCTCGTAGTACTTACTTAACGGTTTCATAAATGCCACGTCTAGTGGTTGAAGTCGGTGAGAACAATGGGGCGGAAAACACAACAAAATTACCCCATTATCTCGTGCAAGATCAATTAATTCCAAGCTCTTGGTATGGGTGGAGTGTCCATCTAAAACAAGTAGAATTGGTTTCTCTTTTTTGGCTCCGGTAAAAGAAATAAATCTTTGAAACCAAACAACAAACAGTTCCTTGGTCATCCACCCAGTCTCCTGAACCTCAGCAAACGCACCCGATGGAAGTCCAGTCTGGAATTCTTGCTTCATGCGTTTTCTGGGAAAAATTAACATTGGGGGAACATATGTCCCGCTAGCGGAGAAACAAATTTCAGCGTTAACAATTTGACCTCGTTCAGCTGAAGTTAAAATTCCGACCTGACGACGTCCTTTCTTGGAAATTACTTTAGAATGACCTTTAGGATTTACTGTTAAGCCCGTTTCGTCGCAGTTATATATTCTATCCCCTGTTATCTGATGGGTATCCAAAATATTTGAAAGAAGGTCGAAAAATTGTTTTACTGCGACTTTATTAAACCCCACTCCTCTAGCTGACGAGGTAGCTTCTGGCTTTCGTAAGCTAAGATTAGGATGCCTATTCAAGAATCCTTTAACCCAGTCTAAACCTGCTTTTGAATTTTTAAACGGATGAACAATGTTGTTGCGTTCTGCTAAATCAAAAGCAAGTTCTCTTAATTCATTCATGGTCAGACCAAATAGTTGAGCTCCCACGGTGGTCAAATAAACTGCTAGTTCTGCTTCTTGTTCTATTGAAAAGATACATTTATAACGTCCAAGCCTTTTCTGAATTTTGTATTCGGAACTGTTTCGCTTTTTTTTAACGTAGCGCTCTAATGTTGTTTGGGGTATATTAAATTGCTCAGCCGCTTTCTTATATCCCATGAAACCATCTATAACTAGTTGCACTGCCTCGTGCATCTGTTGTTCACTCCAACTTTGTTGTCGATCTGTTTTTCTTTTATAATTTCTTACCAGTATTATCTGAAGAAAAATAAAATGTAATTAGAATAATCAAACACCAAACATATCAATTCATGGGGCAAAATGGGGTAGTATCCATTTTGCCCTACCCCGTTTTGCCACAGCTGCATATTTTTGATTATAGTGCAATAATAAATTTAATAACACTTGAAACGTAATAATACTAACAAAATTATAAGTTCACACCTTAGACAATGACATGAAATAAATAGATATTGAGTGAATATAGTTCCAGTCTACTTACTTTTGTAAACGAAATATGTAAATATTGCAATACCACTATCAATCCTCACTATTCAACGAATTCATCGACTTTGGCGCGCTGTACAGCCAAACGGCGGCATCAGGTGATGTCGTACCACGTGAACACGAAATTCCTGGAGATGTAGCTCAATTGCACTAGTGGTTTGGAAAATAAGAGGGGTACCCCCGTTTTGCCCCCCCCCCCCTTCCCCTACAATACTATATATGACTGTTTTTGTAAGTGAAAAAGAGGTTTTTTAACGACATCGTTAACAAAAATCATATTTATACTCAAAGTTTAAGTAATTTTGTTTCAATATTATTTCCGGCAATGTAGATTTTATCAATAATATTTCCATCGACCACTATTTATTTAAACATGAAATAAAGAAAAATTAATACACCAAATAAAATATTTCATAAACTTGAAATTAAAAGCGAATCATGTCGCTAATAACCTCAGAGGTTGAAGCGACTATTTTGTAAAATAAAAAAAAAAGAATACTTTTATTCAGCTTATAAATCAGGAAAATAGACCAGGCAAATTAGCTCAATTTTAATTAAACTTCCGTCGGTAGCAATTTTCTCTTGTGTAAAAGCTGTCGCAATGTATAGTTTGTTTCACGAAAAATGGTTGAGTGCTTAATGGTTACCTGAGTTGATCCTATTGTGATTACAAGAGTCTCTCAATAAACTACCGAAGTACACAGGATTGCACTTCAGAAATTTTGTTATTTAATATATTTCATTGGTAGCTGTGTAATACACGGTTATAAAAATTTATTAAATTATTTCATATGGTATTTTCAGGTTGTTCAAGTGAATATACTTGATAATTGAACAATTTTTAACATGAAGAAAGTAGTTTTTTTGTTCTACGTGAATAATTGTAGTATATGGATCTAAATTCAGAAAGGTACTTTCCTTCACACTTTTTACAGGCTTAGGACTGTCAGCAAAAAACTGGCGCGTTTAAAAGTTTTTGCTCTTCCTAATCGAATATGGTTAAAAATGTAAAGTAATAATAGTTCTATTAATATTTAAAAAAAAATACCCAAAATAACAAAAATATATTTATGAATTCCTAAATACCTAATTGTGTTTCGCTGTCGCTATCCTCTTCAAGATTAATAACAATTGGTTTAATTATGTGATTCAAAGTAACATATGAATTTTCTACGTTCATTATACGGTGTACTGAATTTTTCCAACTTTCTGGGGAGATATCATCAACACATTTCCTTATTAATTCGACTACACTACCACTTAAAGTCAAAGAAACATTTTGTGACCTAACATTTGACTTTAGTTGGTGCCACCTATACTCTATGGGATTAAATAAACAATAGTAGGGCGGAAGCCGTAACACTGTATGTCCCATTTCCTCGGCCAATGCGT